CATGACCTTTACTCATTGCAACTTTAGGCTGCATTTGAGTAAGTAACAAAGTAACACCACTCATGAAAAATATATATAAAGCCATACCATATACCAGTATGAAAATATCTGGGGAGACTTGTTTGCCGAGGTTGCACTTACCAAGAGACTCTCTGTAAGGAGGCACTGAGGTGGTCTGAGTTTCTGTGTTGTGAGTTTCCCTGTTTAGATGATGTTCCGTAAGTCCAATTAAAATCTGCATAAGGAAACCTAGCAAGATCCAATAGATCAGTTAGTTCTAATTTCATACCAAAATGGAATTTGAGCCTGTAATTAACAAAGCAATTTCAATTTTCCATGTACAAGAAAACCTATTTGATTCACAGAAAGCACAAGTACTTCAGTAAAAATCAATACTAGAGAACAATAATGGTTTTATTATAAGCATAATCCAGTCCATCCCAGTCAGCAAAAGCTGTCCTCTTGCAACTTTTCCTCCTATCCATGTCTCTTGACTCCCAAAGTCAGTTGAGAATGAAGATTATTAGTATTTAATTATGAGGCCTTTAGGCAACAGGGGGTTTTGAAGATCAAGCTCCTTTAGGTTATACAGTATAGCTAGGTTTCGTAATGCAGATATAAGAATTAGTTCTTATATAATACAATGGAAAATCAATTAAATCTGTAACTAGTTTTTGAAGTAGATTCTGCAAGCTAATATAGTGTTATAAAGACAACCCAAAACCTGAGTTTTCCAAAGTTAGTATGAAAAGCCTCCAAAGAGCATTATATGTAATACCTGATTACAGATTTTTCTCGTATTTCTAATGTACAAGTAATTTATTTTATAAGTAAATGTCAACAGTTAATCCACAAATATGAGTTGGATAATCCTGAAATATAACATTAATCATCCTGGTATACTGCAAGTTTCAAAATCCAACTAAATCCAAAATACTCCATACCAACAACATTTAAGAAATCTGCTTTTTTATTGCTCACATCTTAATAAAAATGAAGCTAACATAATTATCCCTGTCTGCATTGCATGCAAATATTTTGTACCTTTATTTTCCTTCCGAGTTCCTGAAGTCTGTAAGAAAGAAAAGAAGTTTTAGCCAGTCTATTTTCATCACCACTGCAATTTAAGCTTATTTCAAAATCAAAATAACTTTACCAATGATTTGTAAAGACTGGATTCTGGACTGATCCTCATTAATTGAAGAAGATCTTGCACAGTCCACAACTGTGGGGAAAAGAAAGATCAGTTGGAATAGGTTAATAAATTTAAAATAATTTCAAGTACGTAAATGGCACTATTTCATAGTTGTAAATGTTTTCCATTTGTGAAAGACCTATTTACTCCCTGTAAAATCCTTTTCAGAAGTCTGCTGTTCTACATTTACTCATCTTCACTACTTCAGACATACAGCAGCCAGCATGTAGCTTCATCATCAGCTGAAGCTGTGAAAAGAGAGTTTTGTTCTCTCCCGACTGTCAACACATGCTTGCTACTTTCCTTGTCTGTTTTCTTGATTTATCATCCAAATCACATGAGCTCACTAACCCAAATGATGATTAACTACTCACCAGGTCAAAAAATTAATTTTCAGTTAGAAACACCTTCATCCTATCACACACCTACAAACAAGCAAAGGGAAGGCAAGGACTGCCCTTTTCAGCCACACTTTGTAGTTAGAACAGCTTGGACTGACCAAGAACCACATTTTCAGGGAACTGAATGGCCAAACAAACTTTTATCAGGTTCAGTTCCCAGGTACTCTGCCACACAGCCAAATTGTGGCTGCACCCTTCCACAACAGCATCACTAGCTCATGGCCACTTTTAAGTATTCATGAAAATGACCCTGAATGACAGAATGTTTTGTGGAGATGATCAGAAGCTGTACTTATGTTTCTATTTCCTATCACAAAAAATGATCTTTTCAATTGTTAGAATATGACAATCTCCAGAGAACAAAGCTCTGAGACATCATGGAATAGGCAAAATATTGAACTTACCTTCTTCTTCTCTAATCCACTTTCTGGAAAGAAAACAGAAAGTGAATACTCGTAGCCACATCTCTCTAGATGATCTGCCACCAAACTGTTGGAAGCTGTGATCAAAAGTGAACTGTCTTCACTTGGAACCATCTGTGGCTGAAGCTCTCCACTCAAAATTGGGTGCATTAGTTCATGGATTAGCTGGTTTCGGAGGTGTGTCTAATACAGAAAAAAAAACATTGTATTATCAGTTTACACGTGATTCAATGAGAATTTTAGTTTTTCAAAATCCACAGGGAGCCTCATTTTACTTATGCAACCTACAAACAGAACAGGGCAGACTAATTTTGGCAAAATCTGGAAGTGCACTATGAACACCCTGCCTTTCTTCAAAACCCTTTAATGGTGGATACAATGAACTCTGACTTCCTCTCAAAATCTATCAAACACAGGACTAAAAAGAAGTTCCCAGTCAGGAGCTCACATAAACACTGCTCTTGTTACCATCATTTTCAGATCACTGCTTTCCTGTTTTCCTTCCCTTTGGTTTAAAAAAAGCCTTCCTGGTGTGGCCTCCACCTCAGATGTTCTTGGAACACTCACTGCTCCTCTTCTGAGTCTCATATCATGAAGCCACTCATGCTATCACAAAAGTAATGGCAAAATAAACAAAAACTCAATGTCTTTAATATCAATTATTTTGTAGGGAAGCAAAAGAGTACTAACCAAAGCGACCTACAGGAACTAATAATAATTTAATGGTATTTTTAAATTATTTATTTGCATTCTGTGAGTTACAATAGAGGGAAAAAAGTAACCCAAAATCAGACAGTCTCCCTTCCGTGAAAGGAAGAAGGAATTATTTTCATTATACAGTTATTCCAACTGTTGATACAAATTGTTTATAGGAAAACATCATGGCACAAATAGTGGTTGAAGCTTTCAGCACCAGGTATGCAACAGTGACACAACTGAATAAAGAGGCAGTGTGTTACTAAACATGTGACAAAATAATCACCAAAACTTAACAAAGTCATGTCATCAGACCAGCCTGATATTTTAGCATGGCTTTCAAGAGAAATTAGGCTGACAACAAAATTACAGAACTACAAAATATTCTGAGTTGGAAAGGATCATTGAGTCCAACTGTCAAACACAACTGAAAAAAACTGTTTTCCTTATTAATTTCTGAACTTGTCCAGTTTCAACCAACTTTCACAGACACAATGTTGTCTCAAAAACAACCAAGAACAGCGACCTCTTATACATCCTGTGGCAGAGTCAAGGTGGAAAGCACAGAGCTAAATCCCTACCCCTAGTACAGAAAAAACTTTATAGACAAACTTTCTTAAACAAAGCAGAAAAATGGGCTTAAACACGAAGTAATCTGATAGAATATTAGTTAAGTCAAACAAGAAATGGTTCAAGCATTGCAAGCTTGGTATGGAAAATAGTAACGCAGAAACAAATTGTTCTGAACAGGAAATTCTTAGCTATTGGACTGTCAATGATATTTTTGAAATACAGATCTTGATTTTTTCCTATATGTTCTCCCGAATGAGCAGACAAGAACAAAACAGATCAAATAGTTTTAAAACAGAATTGTAGTATTTTAGAATTATTATTCATATAACATACTTACTTATTATAGGTAATAAACACACCCTGTAACCTGAGAGATCCTCTCCTATTTTATATTCTAATTTATTATTCTCTCCCCTGCCTTATTTTTTTCAAGTATGGGTGTTTTCAAAGACCTAGAACAGGCTTTTAACCTTCCTGAAAAACACTCCGAGGCCAAGGCATAATGCAAAGCCATTCTGTTTAGGAAGAACCTCGCAAATGGGGGGAAAACCAAAAACACAACACCCCCCCCCCCCCCCCCCCCCCCCCCCAACAATAATTAAGTAATGAAGTTGTGGCAAAAATAATACTTCGTGGAGAGAGCGAGACGCTTGTACTCGGCACGGCCTTTAGGGCTCTCTACGTTAAAGCAGCACAGAGGATCACAGGCAGCACCTGCTGAAAACAAAGCACACCTTAAGGGTGTCCAGTACGCCTCGGCTCTTAAAAGTCTGATACAGCCTTTTCCGGAGCTCCTCCTGGGACAGTGTCTCCTTTTCAACCGATGCCATCCTGACCTACAACACCGAACAAAAAGGGGCATTACTGACTCGCAGCTCGACCCACAGCCAGCGGGACGCCGAGCGCTCTCGCCGCCCCTCAGCCCGCTCGGGCTTTCCCCGAGCAGCCTCCCGCTACCCACGGGAGGGCGCCGGGGCCGGGATCAGGGCCGGGCACGGCGGGGCAGGGCAGGGCCGCTCCGGGCGTCGCCGCGGCGGCCGCTGAGGCGTCACGGTGCCGCCGGATGGGGCGGGCGCCGCCCGGCGGTTCCGGCG